AGGATGAAGAATGCAACATTAATCATAATAAAATAGGAGAAAATGCAGACCTTTGCAGTCTCTCCAGGTGATTTCAAACTTTTATTTTTCTCCTATTGTGTATGCAAAAGCAATAATAAAAATTTAAAAGCATCAGGTTATATAACACAGGATAGTCTGTCCCTCAATGTTTTTCCTGTATTTTTTTCCCACAAAGCAATTTGAAACTGGTCTTTATATGTTTTAAAAGTTTTATATACACAATCCATCCAAAGACTTTTTAAATTTACGTTCATGTCTCCAAGTAGTAATGCTTTCTGTCACTAGAAAATGGTTTGAAAATGTCAATAATTATAAGGCTTATCTCTATACTATTTAATTAACTAAATGATAAGGGTGGGGGTCCCCCCCCCCACCCCCCGTATTTACTAGATATCAAGTCTGAAAAAAAAATAAAGGGAAATCCATCTGAACCCCAGAGGATATTGGTTGTGTCCCAGGAGATCAAGAGAACAGATACAGTGATTTTTTATTACTCTAAGCTTGATTAAATTGTAAGGTACAGAAGTCCTCCCCACCACCATCAAAACATTTCATTAATGATAAAATAAGAGCCATGTGCTTTTAAAGTATTTAAGAATTACTTTGACAGGTAAGTTGTATTTTTATCTCACCTTTAAAAGCTTAAGTACTGTCTGATTTAACAAAAGAGAAAATATTAAACATTAAGCTAGATGAAGACTGTTCTTGCCTGAAACAACGGGAGTTTCCTGCAACTTGAATTCTTGCAGAGCTAATGCCCTGACTTTTAGAAGCTCTTACATATCTCTGCAGTTAGAATTACTGTCCCTATTGAAAGAATGCTTAGGAGTCACACCTAAATTAAGACCCTACATAACACAGCAACATAGCAAAAATATGACTCTGTGTAGAATGAGTTTTTAATGTGTTATAAAACACCTTATTATGAAATGCCATAGATAAATTCTTAAGCAGACTTGTTTTGTAAGTGAAGGGGGTGGGAATGAAAGTATTCTGAAATTTAGGAGTGTATTGTAAAATACACTCTAAGTTAAAGACCTTTAGGAGGACACCATCAATTTAGCACTCAGAGCCTTTTAAACTGAAAGGTTTATTTACTACTTTTATAAGTAACTAATTCTATATAGAAATAATAATGTTGGGCAGGGGGGACTACACAAGGCACATCCACATCCAACCCTGTAATGTTTTCATGAGCAATTTTGGTCTGAAAGATCCCTGCCAACAGGAAGTGCAAAGGCAACTACTTTTCCCAAATCCCAGAGGATTCTCAGACTCTTCCAGCCTGTATCCCTGCTTTTAAGGGCCTAAATGTGCAGTGCTAAGTCTGGCTGCTTGAAGAAATCATGGAGATTTGCCTAAGAAGTGAAATACTAGGGCTTCCTCTCATGTCCTGAGGTATCCAAGAATATCACTCTGCTCCCCCAGATTTGGAATGGGCAGCTTTAGGATAGCAGGACACTCACTGCGAGGACAGCCTGAGCCTAACCCTGCACTGCCCCAGAGTCTGTGCCCTGCACAGCTCTGGGCACGAACAAATGCACACATGGCAGAATCCAGAGCAGCACTTCAGGCCTGTCCAGTCTGGAAAACAGGAGAGGACAAGTCCTGGGATAGCAAGAAATGCCTGTCTGAGGAACAGTGGGAGAACAGGGGTGGAAGCGTGGCATGGCAAAAGGGCAGGGCTGCTACCTTACCTGAACAAAGGCAGCCTTACAGAGAGTCGTCCTTTGATGGAGGGACCCTTGGAGATTCTTCGTAACTTGCTGTTGTTGAAGTATGACTCTGTCCTGAAAACTGACTAAACTAGAAAATTCTGAACTGTTTTTCTAGCATATCCTGAATGAAAATGTACAATTCATAATTAAAAAACCTAATATTTTTTGCAACTGCTGACTCTGCATTCCTTTGAGCAGGTGTACTCATGCACAGCATCATCAGCTGGGCAGCCACTGAGGCCACAGTCTGCCCGCAGGGACAGCCGTGGTACCCTGCTGTAGGTATGTGACTCACCACAGCTTGGTGCTGGTGATGTAAAAGGTGTGACAACGCCCATGTCATTGTCTCCACTCTGCTGAAAATCAGGACACTTGGCTGCTTCTTTGATGGGACAGGCAGAGTGTCTGGCTATGACTGCACATGACCTCTAGGGCTTCTGACAAGGAGGCAGCTCTTGTGTATAAGCATTTTCCTTTAAGATACCTAAAGCTTTCCGTGTAGAAAAATGGATTCCCTAAAATCCTGGATTCACATACTGCAGGAAATTACATTTTCAGTGAACAGTACTATTATGAGCATCTGACAAAATCCTGAAAATTGTACAGATCTTCAGTCTGATGAGTGGGATACAGAAAATCCTGAAAAGCTTCCAGGGAGTAATAGGACCTTATGCTCATTGGAGGCCAATTGTTTTCCTTTCCTAACATTAGCCTTGTTACCTAAAAGAAAGACAAGGATCTAATGTCTATGAAGCAAGTTTTTTTGGCAGAGAAGGTGCAGACAGCTCTTCCACACCCAAACACGTTCTTTATGACTATAATCTAATTACTTTGTGAGCATAAAAAGTCAGTGCTGAATCTACTCCAATAAATTTAAGCAGATCAAGCTATAGACAACTGCTGAGAGGAAAACCTGGTAACATAAGACAGACAAGATAAGATAAAGAGATCTGGCTATATTCTACTATAAATTAAATTCCCATTAACTTTGCATGGTTCAGTGTATGAGTTTTGTGGGTGCAAACGATGGCTGAGCTTGGCCTAAAATGCTAGAATATTTAGTTACAACTTGATGATCTAGTTGGTCTTAACTCAGTCAAGCAAAGACTCACAGGGTATTAAATTGCTGCTCACCTAATTACATGATTAGGTGATAGTTTTCAGTTGTGCCAACTTAGCTACAGAAGGTGTGAGACTTTTTTCTCTCCTTCTTAGAAGGTCAGCAAATGAAGAAATTATTACTGTGGGATGGTTCAGATTTGCAGGTTCAGTTCCCTGTTTTCCCACCCCTAAATGGGCACACACTGACTGTGCCTGCAGTGGTTCATTCACTGTACATGCACAGGCAGTCCTGTCCCAAGGAGCACTGAGTGCAGCTGTGTCCCAGCTGGCTCGTCTGCCTCCTCCTGAGGCTGCTGAGCACAGAAAGGGAGCATCTGTACTTGTGTGCTTCCCTACAACATGCAGAGCAGAACCTACTATGCAAGAGGATTACGCAGCTGTTTCTCTATGATTCTCTTCAGTTCTGGTAATCAGGGAAGGGAGATCACAGCCTCTCTCTGTTATTTCCTTCCCTCCTCTTGAACATTTGTAGTTGGTATATGCAGATGTTGTTACTGTCTCTATTTTTTTCTATAACCATCTCCTCTACTCCTGTACTCTTTTTTCATCATCCTTGACCAGACCAGGTTAATATTCTCAAAAGAATGGCCTTTTCTTTGAATCTGCAAAACTTTTTCAGCACACTTGCAGATCAATCTGGTTTCCTGAACACAACCTGCACCCTGGCACACAGGAGCCCAGAGCAGCCTACTGAACTTGCTCCCCGTCTGAGCTATGTCTTTCTTGAAATCTTACTTGAGGAAATTCTGGATGACTCCCTTTGAGAAGTCTAATTCCACCTCTTCTAGACTCATGCCCTCATCTCAAACTTAATGAATTTCAGCATAACCATTCTTTCCATATTAAACACATAAATGCATTATGAATAGAATTGTCTCATACGAAGTTTTAAAAAAACCTTGTAATTTCATCTGTGAACAACTCCATTGTGTTTTATCCTGGTTTGCTATCCGTGTGTGCATCTGTGCTTACCCTTTGCATTGCTGGGTATAGGATGGGGCAATGGGAGCACTCCTAACGTAAGCGTGTGTCATCCACTGCAGAGTCTGACTGCAGCCTGCGATGTGTCTTGGAGCTTTCAATTATCCAGTCCAATAAACTGCAGCTATCTAACACCACCCTACCCTTACGTAACCCCAGAGCTGTAACACTTTGGCACCAGACCATGTTTTGTTTGCTTACATGATTCTGACCTTAAGGCAAGAACTGCACCTGGGTGTATGACACAGTCTCGGGGCACTTATAACAGAAACGCCATCTGCGTTACAAAGCTGGTTAAGAGGTTGAGAGCTTTTCTGTCACATTTTGGTGTTAGCTAAAGCCCCTTGGGGAAATAATGGAAACAAAAGTATGATTTTGCCTGTTTTAATTGCATCCATTTTAGTAGGACTTGCTAATTAAAACTCAATCACCAAATCTTTCTGGTACAGTCTATTCCTAAGGCAGGAGAGATTTTGCCATTATTTTGCAGGTTCTGAACACAACTGCCATGTAAATGAAAATAAGCAATTAAGTTTGCTCAAGATAAATCTAGTCACATCCCAGAAATGGTAAGATTCACATCAGTTACAGCTGCAGAGAAGAAAAAGCTTTCAGACTATAGACATCATTTGATAGCTTCCATACAGCTTCCATACTTGTTCAGCAAAGCACTTATGCATATATTTAAAAAGCAGATTTTAAAGGACACAGAAATGGATCTGCTAGTCTATCTCAAACTAAAGGCCTTTTGTGTCTTTGAATATCTTTCCTATCAACTTTAATAGGACCTAAACATATGCTGGAAGCTAAGCAGAAGTTTTAGAGCTGAATAAACGTCCTTTTAAGCAAATATTTAAATGTGTTGCTGAACTTCATTCTGAGGGGAACCAACATAAAATGGAAGCTAGTTTAAATTCACTTAAAATTCTCCAATGTGGATTATTCACATATCCCCACTTAAGCTGCAGAGCCAGTGAAATATTTTGATAGAGCAATATGTGATACAAAGTCAGCATAACAATAACATACACTGTAATCGCCAGAAAGTTGTCCTGTTCCAGAGTTTCAGCAATAAACATTAAAAGCTTTTTGAACTTTCACAATTTTTATAGTATTTTTTTCATTGCTTATAACAACAATCTATAACTGAAAACTTACCCTACAGAATTAACTCCCTCTTCACTTTCAGATGCAGAGTTTTGTTGTAGAGGCTGTGAGATCTTGTTTACACTCTAAGTTCTGATCTGTATCCCATGATTGTACTGGAAAACTGTTTTCTGTGGGGAGAGAAGTCCTCATTAGCAGACATTCTTCCTTGTGACAGAGCTAGGGAAAATAAAAAGCAAATGTGCATTGCAGCAAAGGCAACAATGGCACACATGCCACTAATCTCAAATTCTAGCACTGCTTCAATATTCAATAGTGTTTGCAGCTATCCCAGGACAGCAGCAGAGGCTGCAAACTAACCAATAGCATTTGGTAGACACACTGGTGATTTTACATTTCTCTTTCAAAACACAGGCCCTGGGGTGTGGGTGTGTGGGACAGGCTGTCCTCAGCCGAGGAGTCCATGGCGGGCCCATGACAGTGTCCATTGGATTTGCAATGGCAGTGACCGTAGCAGTGTATGTCACTGGGGGTGTTTCTGGTAAGTGACTTGTTTTCTCATATAGCATTTATTGCTACAGTTTTAAGGCTCCCTTGTTAAAGTACTTCCATTCCGTGGTATAAACAATGCAACAGTAAGCACCACTGTAGCAGAGTCATGTCAGCGTTTTGCTTGTAAATCCTTTATATTGTTGTTTCCTCCTATTCTTTGTGTTTGATGAAATCTTCCACCAAATTCTGGTCTGAACTACAGTGTGCAAGCCTTGGCAGACCTCTGACTTTTACAGAAAGTATTCTGTGCAAACCACAAATCTGCTTGGTGTTGCTTTGAAAATTCTGTCCGTGGAGATGATCCTGGACAGCACAGGCACTACGTTTGAGGAATTAACTGTGAAAAGCAATCCAGCAGTCACCAGATAAAACGGTGGCCAGCTACCTAGAAGGCAGAATGGCCCACTACTGGGTGTGATGAGCAGGGTTCACCTTGCGGAGAGCAGTTTGTCTTTTCATGTCCGATGACAGGCAATAGCAAGTCTGCTATTGCAGAAACAGCAAAAAGATTCAGTACAAGAAACACATTCAGTGATACACTGTCCATGTGCTGTCACTGAGCCTTTGTTTCTGCTCTTCCTCAACAAGCATTGGTCAGAAATCTCTCTTTTGCCTGTAGCTGGGCTAACTAACCAGTGTCTACACATGCCATATGGGATGCTGCCCCCTCCCCTATTTCCATCACTGAGTTTGGACAAACTAATATCAGATACATTAGCACAACTGTTCTTAATATTTAAATTCTCCCTTTAAGATAGAAAATGATGGGCTGTAACAACAAAAAGTATTGTGCATTATAATACACAATGTTGTATGCAGAGTTTATATGGACTTCTTAAAGAAAATGGTGCCCTGGTGCTCCAGTTCTCATAAAAACATTTCTTACCCTTCATAAAGAGAATAAAGTTGGTCTGGACAAATTTCTGTAGGTATAACTAGGCCATTATAAACAGTTGCTGTAACAGAAATTATTGGGGCCATTTCTCTTCTCTTTTACAAATACTTTTACAGAGGCATGAGGAGGTTTCCAAGTTCACATTAGAAAGTGCTCAAGGTTCTACAAAACAGGCAGTCTTGTAACTGTTATTGAAATAGAGCAGCAGTGTGCCTTAATACCACACCAAGCTAATTCAGCAGCACAGTCTTATTATCTGAACAACTTTAAACTACAGCTCTCGGTTTACATGTAGGCAGGTAAACTCTTCTAATGCAGTGGCATGAAAACAAACCTGTGAAGGCCTGTCCTACATTTGCATCTTTAGGAATATTCATCTCCATTATTATGTAGAAAATTAGAGTTCAATCCCAGCAGGGCAGAGCAGTTGCAGATGTTGCAGGATTGTGCTTCCTGTGTTTCTCCCATGACAAAGGATTCTGCACGCAGTGCACTTTCTCTGTGAAGGAGTAGGAACAGATATTTCAACAGGCTGTGATTATCCAACATATGATCACTACGTGAACACTTCAGAATACCAGTTCCTAATATAGAATTTGTTAGCAATTTCTGTAGCTCTTTGGCCGTGGAGTCTCACGTTTAAGTATACTGCTAAAATATTTTGCATCAGTTCTTTACAAAATTCTAAATTCATGGTAACAAAAAAGCACAGTTTGCTTGCTTGGTGAATTTTAGCTTTTTACTTAGGAAAATTCCCCTTTTTACTTTTTCTCTATCTAATTTTTCTCAATATCTAGATAATTTCCCGCTATTTTTTCCAGTGTAACATTTCAAACTCATGACTGTGATCACTGCAACTACGAAAGAATGGGGAACACACTGTCCAAAGTGGAGTTTTTTGTGGTTTTTTTTTTTAAACCAGGACACTAGCAGTGGTACAAGAACCAAGAATCTTTTAACTCCCTTTTGTCAGACTTTTCCTTTCCAGATTTCATGTTAATCTGCCATCGCTAATATTATTATGACTTGTCCTGGCCATCATAATCACCCTGTATTATATACAGGTGGGGAACAATATCAGGTGTTGAAAGAAACAAAAATTATTCATTCCAGCCTGAGTAAGGAACAAAAGACAAGACAACAATTAATCAAAATTCACATGAAGGGCTGTTAAACAAGTTGCCATCTATCTATTTTCTCTGTGCTGAAGAATTTGAAACACAGTGAGGAATTCAAAATTAATTCAAGACTGGTGCTACTAGGTCAGAGTTTTGGAAATGGTACAAAGAAGGTTTTATCCAACTTGTTATCTGTGTTTGTCAGTTCGCTGTGTATCAAAGGTGCCTGGATTTCATAAGATAATGACTCACTGAAGTGCAAACAAACACAGAAACTGTACATAGAGGCCCTTTCTCCATCACTAACCTTTGACAGATAAGGGACATGCTCTTTCAGGTTTTTTACCAAAGACAAGGGCCATTTTTTCTGATATCCATCCAGGCTGAAAGGAGACTTTACCTGGAAGATAAGCAATGGATGCTATGTCCTTGCAGTATTTTTACTGTGGAGTACTTTGTCATTGGTTTATTTATTTGCCTATTTGTATTTCTTAAGGAGCAACTACATATTTGTAAACAATGAAGTTTTCCAACACTTTTTTCCCATGTTGATAAAAAGTTTTGAGGGAAGTGAATATCATGTGACATAATAAATATATTTTAAAACCTAAAATTACCACAAGGAATTCCATTGTTACTTAAATCTTTTTCATGTATGAGTTCAAGTGTAGCTACTCCTGGATAAAAAGCAAGGCAGTTCCACAGGAAATAGAACTCTGTGTTCCAGCACAGCTACTTTATCAGTTTCCTTATCGTGGACCTTCCTGGATAGCGCAAGGACTTGATGAAAGCCCGTGATGAAGAACTATGCACTGCTGTCCCCAGATCCCATGCAGACATAGCTCACCAACAGCCAGCAGGAAGCTGGACAGCCCTAACATTATTTTATTTTGTGTTCATGAACACTGAGTGCCTGAGTAACCCCAGGCTGAAGACAGGGTCATAACCATGACTTAATCCCAGGTAAGGTACTCTGGGTCTGCCTCGAGATGCATAATAAAGCCCGTGATAGTCCTTAATCATAATACACTCTTATGAAACTGAATTAATGTTCTGCTGCCCCAATCCTACCCTAAAAATACAAAGCCAAAGGCCTCAAGGAGAGAGAATATGTTCAGAATGAGGGACCCTCCCCTCACAACTGATAGGCGAATTTAGGCTTTTCCTAGAAAAGTTGTCTGTAGATTTATAGATTACAGACTGCAGGAGAGCAGTCTGATGAACACCACAGTCCACAAACATCAAGAACAAAGATGGAGCTTGGTGGCTTTAGCCCTCCCTCCTCTAATTTCATCCAGCTTGTTTCAGTTTAATTGCAGTCAACATTTAAGTAAAGAATAACATCTAGAAAAGCATGTACTAGTCTTCTGCTCAAAAGTGCCTGCATTTTTACAAATCCTTCACCTATTCTCATGTATCTGACTCATCCACATGACTTATTTTGTGATTTATTTTTCAGGTGGTCATATAAACCCAGCTGTTTCATTAGCCATGTGCGTGACTGGAAGATTAAAATGGACCAAATTACCAATTTACATATTAGCACAACTCCTGGGAGCATTTGTTGGAGCAGCGGCTGTCTTTGGGATTTATTATGGTGAGTACACCTTAGACATGTTCACAGGACAAACTGGAGGTCAGGCAGTCTCTAAGGCCCCAGTTTCTCAATGAATGTCAAGCAGGAAGAGGACTCTTGTTCAGACAGAGCTAATGGCAGGACTGAAGCTAAAATCATAAAGAAGAAAGGGAGAAGCGTAAAGAGTTTGAAGGGAAGAACAATGGCTCGAACATTCCAAGTATCCTATAGATTTACTGAAACACTAATATCCCAGGAAATGTTCTGATTTTTAGAAAAATTATTCATGGGAAATCAGATACTCTGAGATCATGTATTTCTCAGTAAGGATTTTAAATTACTTAATAGCCAGGATATAGGGCTATCCATCTTCCAAGCAAATTAGAAACATTAAAGAACTGCTACAAGTGCCTGTAGGCAAATATCACCAACATCGTTCATTGAGAGTACAGGATATGAGATCAAGTCCCTCCTGACCAAACTTCAGACCACCCTAGAGAGGTGGCTCTCCAAGGCAAGGAACTCCAGGTAGAGTGATAAAGAGGTCACATATTAGAAAGGGAAAAAGAAAAAAGATTACCCCTTTCTTGAGGCACCTTTTTTTCCCACAGTGTGCCACAAAAGGAAAAAAACTTAGTAACAGACTGACTGACTGGATGAATCCTACTCCAAAACTTTGCTTCTACTGGCCCAGCCCATCTCCTGCAAAGCCTCTCTCATGGGCATAATGTCTGCAGGCAATGCTGAGTCAAGGTGCAACAGAGGGAAAATACAAATGGAAATGCCCGTTATTTGTCAGCTCAGGGCTCAGTACCCATAGTAATCCTGAGGAGAAAAATCTTTAGGAACCATTATAATTGATTTGGGTTTGGTGGTGACTGTGGGATTCCAGAACAGGATTTTCATCTCAATTTGAGTTGTCCTCAAGTCTGACAGCAGAATTACAGCTGTGGCCAGGATGCAGCAATGTGTTAATATGCATATGGGCTTGGAGGTGGAGCCACTATTCTGCTAAAAGGGCAGCAGAAGGGTAGGGAACCAAAATAGGGAACATAGGGCTGGGGTTTAGGTTGGAGACACCTTCCTGATGTTCAGGAGTGCAGGATTTTGTCATGTCTCTGTCTCTGCTCAAGTACTGTGCCCTCCTCTTGTTCTTATTAAATCTCAAACCTCTTCTGTACCTTTTCCTTCCTGCAACTTGCAGGATTGTCCCATACTCACTGACGCCCAGTTGTAAAACAGACAGAGTAGCTCACCCTTGTATTTTTCCTAATAGTTAAGTACAAAAAAACAATTCAACATTACAAATGAGAGCCTGGTTGAAATAAACAACTAAACATTCTCTACATCCTTGTTGTGCCTTAGGCAAAGCTAGAAAAAACACAGCAGCAAGGAGAATTAGATTTTTCTGTTTGCTTCAGGAGATGGGGAGCTGTTTCTTTGCTCACAAGTATCATCTCATCACTGGATTCACTAATAAAATAATGGATTAGAGTTTGTTTTCCATGTCTGTCTATGGAGATCTGAGTGATTCATCTCAATGTCCTCTTATTTCTAAATATTTATTTCTAAAATTGCACAAGTGTCAGATGGAATAAAGTAATTCCTGGTGGCTGGGTATGCACAACTGCCCAGCTAGGACATCAGGCACTTCTTGGGGCTCAGGCACTTCTTGGGGCATCTTACCAAATGTAGCAACTCTTACAGAATAATGCAACTGTATTCAGAATCAGAAAATGCTCCTTGGCACTGGGTTTGGAGCAGTGGGCAGGGGAAAATCAGCCCCATACTGAAAGCTGTGATTTCTGAAATGAGTACTTCAAGGCACAGGAGGAGAGATGAGACCGGAGGGTAGGATGAGTACATCACCCCAAATCCATTAACTGTGCTCCCAGAAAAAGAGATCACAGAATGAAAGAATGGTTTGGGTTGGAAAGGACCTTAAAAATCAGTTTCAGCTGGGAAGTGCACAGACTTATCATACAGTCCTAGAAAACCCAGGGTCTGTGGAGAAGTACAGGCAGTCACTGGCTGTTTTCTACAGATGCCTTTATGGATTACAGCGATGGGAAACTTGAAGTCACAGGACCTAATGCAACAGCACATATCTTTGCAACATACCCAGCTCCATATCTGTCCCTCATAAACGGATTTGCAGATCAGGTAAGTGCACTTGCTGTCTTAATTCTGCAAATCAAGTGTACTAAAATCTGTAAAATCAAGTAGTAAAAAGATACATAGATCTAAGGAGCATTCTGAATCTTTCACTCATATGTCCCTGTGTAAAAAACAATGAGAATGCAATGCTGTTTTGGAGGGGTTACCTTTCAGTAGTATTTTACAAGCAAGATAATTTCAGGTTGTTCTTTTCACATCATCTGAATTGTTGTTTTCATCATCTTAATTGTTACACTCTACCTGTCTTCAATGCAACATATGGAAGAGGTTTTCCTCAGCATAAATCAGTATTTCTCCATAAACCTCAGCAGTCATGCCCATTATATCAAAATCCAGCCCATTTTGTGGACCTATTATTCCTTAAGTAAAGCTTAAGCCAACAGCTTAAGACAGCCTGAACAACTGAGTTTTCTGCTTCCACAAGCCTCTTCTCTGACCTTCTGTTTGCAGATAGATTTGTAGTATTTACTATTTATCCTCTAATCCTACTTATGCAACAGTGAAAAAATGAAGTTTCATATCTTTTATCTACTTCTAAACAATTTACCCATCGTCTTCAGGCATGCATGAAATAAATACTGCATAAGCAAGGT